GTAAATAGAGGTAAATTGCTTATTCCATCCGCAGAGGTGTACAAAATTGTCCATTTTGCGGATAAAATATTTAAAAGGGCATCAAATAGTCAATCTAATATTAAAAATGTATTAATCAGTATTATTATTCAACACTTCACACCACTGTTGCGAGCAATGTTTTATTTATACGTATTCTATAGTGTATTCTATACATGGTAGAGTCATGCTGCAGCTATATTAGTAGTATAATTGTAGTACGAATGGGTCGGCTCGACCGGGGAAGGACCACGCTCTCACAGAATACCAGCGTAAAATAGCAGCTTAACGCTGTTGTGTTTCGTATGGTGAGCGTAGAGAACCGGAGACCCTTTTTACTGGAAATGAACCATTCCATCTTAGTCCTCACGGGTGACAACGCATCTGCATTTGGATTAGTAATCGAGGATAGATGTAGATGTCTGTGGGCCGCAGCAACCACTTACCATCAGGTGGACTGTGTGCTCGCTTGTCATCCTTATTCTATAAAAAAAATCATTCTATGGATGACAGTATAAAAAATAATTTTAAAATTCTATATTAATGAAATTCAAAGCAATTATGCTTTGAATTTCATGGACCAAAAGTTGAGTGATGTTCGTACCAAGCGACAAAAACTTCACAAAACTATTCAATCATCTATAAAAATTGTGTTGTAAAAACCTTGACCTCTAATTATTATTATTGTATATTTTAAATTCGTAGACACTATTGCTATTGTAATAATAAATGTAAATAATAACGATTATTATTTTAGTTTTATTATTTCCTAATGTTACATTATAAGGGATGTAAAGACAGCCTCCCGAAAACTTTAACCATGAACTCATCATGCTGAGCAAGGTAGTGAAGGAATTTCTTTGTGGAAATTAAAATAATTTTTTGACTTCCGATACAAAATTGGTCACGTGACCGATACATTTTGTATGGGAAAACGATTTTTTTTTATTTTCGTACAAAAATTATTTTAGATTTTGCTCAGGATTATGGTCTGAGTTCATGGTTAAAGTTTTGTATATAGACCCGTTCACTCGTTAATTCGTTTATTGACAAAAACACGATTAAATAATATTAATTAATAAACTTTCGCCCGCAGCTTCGTCATTTTTAATTTTTCTAATATCATGCGTTTCAATCGAACTCTACTAATTTCAATTAAATAAGTTTTTTATAAATAAATATAATGACAATAAACTGATTTTTCCCCATAATATCCCAAATTCTTGTATTTTGTGTTCACAATAATTAGAAAGAGACTGAGGGGTAATGAAAAATTTCAAGGCCGTTTTTTTGTATTTTTTATGTCATTCGAGAGTGCGGGTTCCAGTTAGTACGAAGTACATCATCTATTTCCATGGTTTGCCCCAAAAAGACGATGATGCAATAAATGTTGACGCTGATTATCTGCCTGATGATACTGTACATTTTGTATGATTAAAAGTTATTATATTTCGTCGCTTAATTCTTCAGATACAATTAACTTAGGTAGTCCCTTAACCTACTCGAGGAATTCGCACGTTTAGAGAATCGGTCTATTTTAAATCGATTTTTTTTTGTTGGCTACTCCCACTCTCCGTTTACCCGTCGGTCCGATAGCCACTTCATTCCTTACTTGTGCGAGGCAACGTTCGCACGTGCCTTTCGTAAAAAAGTTAAAAGTGTTAACAATTTATATTCCGTGATTATTATGCCAAAAAGAAAAAATGAAGAAAAAATTAAACGTTACCGACGCAAAATTAGGAAAATAGAACAGGAGCAGAGAAAATAGAAACGAATTATTTATTCGTATTCTGAGGACTCTGATAAAGATTCGGGTTAGTAAAATTTTTATCTCTAAATATTATGAATACTAAATTAAATACAATTTAATATGGAATATTGTATTTGCATTTTACCTGGAGATTGACCGTGTGTCATCACGAAGGTTATTTTAATACCGAGAGGTTAACCGCGTGTTAACACGAAGGTACTTGGAAATCGTTCGAGAAACGATTTTTCAGCTATTCGTATATAAAATAATAATAAAAAATGTATTCAGATATAAAATATTATATTAAAATTAATGACCTGTTTACACATGGCGAGCAGATTATTATTCGAGCAGTAGTTTATTTGCCTTTGGTTTTAATATCTACCCTCAATAACATTAATTATTGTTTTAGATAATGAAAACCTTGATAACGCCGATATAGAACCCTTGAATTCAGAGTATCGAAGCGACAAAAATAGTACTTTAAATAATGAGGAGACAAAATATGACTCTGACCAAGAACCGGTAGTGTCAGAATTAGAGGCTGACATCCTTACTGCCTTAGGTGAGACCACCGAAGAGACACCGGAGTTGGGCCCGAAAATCCACGACAAGTTAGCTCAGCTATGGTTACCTATACTTCGAAAGGGTATACATAAAGAGGCGAAAGAGAAACTACTTAAAGAATATCTCATACCGGAAAACTGCTCGTTATTACAAGCGCCAAAACTAAACCCTGAAATTTCGGCCGCTGTATCTGAGGGCACCAGGACTCGAAACAAGAGAGTCGAGGCCGTACAGCAACAATTAGGACAGGGGATATCAGCTCTTAACAAAGGGCTCGAACTCCTCTTAGATGATGGCAAAGACAGACTTCAAGCCGTTGAGTTTCTCAGTGACAGCTGTAGAATACTATGTGACCTACATTTTGTAGAAACTGAACCAAGAAAGAAATTTGTGACCCCAGGATTGGATAAATCCTTTATTAATATTATGCAGGAAGTGGATCGCGATGACCTGCTCTTTGGAAATAAGCTTACAGAAAAAATCAAAGCCACAAAAGTGATTGAGAAACACGGTTTACAAATTAAGAAACCTGTCCAAAATTTGAAAGCTTCTTACCCGTCACAGCAACCATCGACGAGCCGCTCACGCTCCCAGGGAAACTGGGGAGGCCCTTCTCGCTTCTCGTCAAACAGAGGGGGGAGGGCGGGGCCGAAAAAAAATACACTACCAAGTCGCAGAGCGCCACCAGGCACCAGCTTCCAACCGAAGCCATCGGCGCAGAGCAGACATCGTGCCACAACTCAACAACATTAAAGGTACACGCAGGAAGAATTCTGCATTTTTATAACTGCTGGCTTAACATTACTAAAAATGCTCAAATACTTAAGTGGATCTCAGAAGGGTATTCCATACCGTTTTGTAGCAAAGTGAGACAAGTTTCAGTTCCCCGTAATTCTGTACCCAGTAATGACCCGCATATGTTAAATTCTATCAAATCTTTATTGGAACTTGGTGCTATTTCACCCTGTCGTAGATCGATGCACGACTTTGTTTCCACTGTATTTCTAGCTCCGAAATCTAACGGAGCAAAAAGATTTATCCTAAATCTTAGGACTCTAAATAGGTTTATTTCAGCCACCCATTTCAAAATGGAAGGCCATAGGGCTGCAGCTAGACTCTTACCTAAATCCGGCTTCATGGCAAATATTGATATAAAAGAGGCTTACATTTTAGTTCCAATAGCAAAAGAACATCGTAAGTACTTACGTTTTCAATTTAATAAAAAATGCTTCGAATTTAATGCTCTGCCATATGGACTGTCCGTTGCTCCGTGGGTTTTCACTAAGTTAATGAAAGAACCTATCAATTTTCTACGACAAAGAGGATATAGGTCGGTAATATATTTGGATGATATCCTATGCATAGGCGACACTTACGAAGAGTGCTCCACTAACGTAAGTAAAACGTTATCATTGCTCAAATGCTTAGGATTTGTCATTAATTACGAAAAAAGTTTCCTGGAACCAAAACAGGTATATCGATTTCTCGGGTTTATATATAATACAGTCGATATGTCATTAAGTTTGCCAAATGACAAACGACAAGTTATCATGCACTATGTCAAAAAATTTGCCTTACTCCGCAAATGCTCTAATTTCACCCAAATGCTCGAATTGTCACAACTAATAGGAATACTTACTGCAGCCTGTCCAGCCGTTAGATATGGTTGGTTAAACACCAAAATTCTAGAACGTCAAAAATATTTAGCCTTACTAAAATATAACAATTATGAAGCAAAAATCAAACTTTCGACTATTGTTTTACCCGACCTGCAATGGTGGAAACAAAACATATTGTCCACTAGCAATTCATTGAGGCCAGATAAACAATTTGCTTTAGAAATATACACTGACGCGTCCAAGACAGACTGGGGGGCTGTTTGTGACGGTAAAAGAGTAAACGGTGGATGGAAGGACAATGAATTATCCTTTCACATTAATTATCTAGAACTACTAGCCGTTTTCCTTGGCTTGAAAAGATTTGCTATCGCTCACTTTAATTGCTCTATTTTACTCCGCGTGGACAACACAACTGCCATATGCTACATAAATCGTATGGGGGGAATACGGTTTCCACATTTAAATGATTTGACCAAAACTATTTGGCAATGGTGCGAGAAGCGAAATATCTTATTTGCATCCTACATCAACACACACGACAACCGCGAAGCTGATGAAGAATCACGAAAAATAAACGTAGATACGGAGTGGGAATTATCGGAACGGGCGTTCAAAACAATTGTTCAAAGTCTGGGGGAACCTGAAATTGATCTTTTCGCTTCTCGCACTAATGCAAAATGCCTTCAATGTATCTCATGGAAACCAGACCCCGACGCAATGACCATTGACGCTTTTACAGTTAACTGGAACTCGTCGTTCTTCTACGCATTTCCACCGTTTGCCTTAATACTAAGATGCTTACGAAAAATTATTAGTGACAAAGCCACCGGTATCCTAGTGTTTCCTTACTGGCCCGGACAAGCTTGGTTTCCACTGCTCAAAAGAATGCTCACCTCGGAGATTATCTTCTTTAAACCCAATAGGGACCTTTTGTTTTGTCATTACAGGCTACGTCACCGACTTCATGCCAGCCTTTCCCTGGCGGCCGCGACGCTCTCAGGACAACGTTTAAGAGATTAAACACTCCGGACATTGCACTAGATCTCATGCTAGCATCCATATCGGATATCACTATGAAACAATATTCTAGTACGTACAGATTGTGGTGGCAGTTTTGTATAAAAAACCAAGTAAATACTTTTGAAGCTCCATTATCATCCATAATATCATTTTTAGTGGATCTGTACGAAAATGGAGCATCATATGGGTCTATTAATAGTCATCGCTCTGCCCTATCTCTACTCCTCGGGAATAATATAGGGTCAGATGAACGAATTAAACGGTTATTAAAGGGTATTTATAGACAAAAACCTTCCCTTCCCAAATATACAAGTACCTGGGATCCGAAAACTGTGCTTGATTATGTATCGAAATGGTATCCAAATAATAATATAAGCCTAACAAAACTTACAAAGAAAATGACTATACTTTTTGCTCTGTGTACTTCTCATCGCGTACAAACTCTCTCTCTAATAAGAATCTCTAATATCATAAGATCCCCGTCAGGTGCTAAGATCTTTATAACTGACATAATAAAAACTTCAGCACCAAATCAAGAGCACCCAGTATTATTCCTGCCTTATTTTGCGGAGAACCCAAGCATATGTCCAGCAAGAACCCTTGACGACTATCTTATAGTAACATCTAGGCTACGACCTAAAGGTACTGACAATCTCTTGCTTACTCATAAGAAACCTTATAAAAAGGCATCGTCACAAACTATAAGCCGGTGGATAAAGCAGACTTTAGCAGAGAGCGGTGTGGACATAACTATATTCACTGCCCACAGCACCCGCCACGCTTTTACTTCGGCAGCGGCTTGCTCCGGAGCTTGTATTGACACCATAAGAAAAACGGCTGGGTGGTCTACCTATTCTATGACATTCGCTAAGTTCTATAACCGCCCATTAACGGATGAAGGAGAATTTGCTCGATCCGTCTGTGCGATTAGTAGGTATGAACAGTAACAAATAATAAGACTAATTATGTATTTATTTGCTTAAATCATTAAGAAAATGTTGGAAGTATTATTATATTTTATTAACCCAAAATTAAAGTTTTTTCCTAATTCTATAAATGTTTTATTAACCTAAGAACATTTACATCTGAATTTAACTATCTCTAAACATCTACCTAAGTTAATTGTATCTGAAGAATGAAGCGACGAAATGTAATATGATATCAAACGAACTTCTTGAAGTGAAGTTCGATCATTATTATATGAGTCGCTTCATTCGAAGATACAAAGGTCCCACCCACCAATACCCGGCGTACAAAAAAAAACTTAAATGAATATCTCTAAAAAGAATGAAGTGTGTTGTGTATCGCTAGCAACGCAAACTCAGGAATTTGCATTTGGAAAAATTCCGAATTAGGGGCTTTTAGGTGCTAATTAGGTGGCAAGTTTAAAAATTAGGTGCTTTAAAATTTTCACAGCAACGAACGATTGAAATTTGCGTTGCTAGCAAAACGTCTCTCTAGCAACGCAATGAACTTATTAAATATACGATAAATATTAATAGCAAGGAATTAGGTGCTAATTAGGTGCTGCAAGTACACGTAGTAACAAGGCGCCCCTAATAAAAATAAAGTCGTTATTTAGAACATAGCAGATGCAAAATTCAGATTTCCTGAAAATCAAAATAGAATCAAAATTGCTTTCAGAAAAAGTCCAAATAATAATAAAAATAAAGTCGTTATTCCGAAAATTATTCAGCAAGGCAATTTTTTTTTATAGGATAAGATTGACAAAAGAGCACACAGTCCACCTGATGGTAAGTGGTTGCTGTGGCCCATAGACATCTACATCTATCTTCGATTAAGAATCAAAATGCAGATGCGTTGTCACCCGTAAGGACTAAGATGGAATGCCTCGTTTCCAGTAAAAAGGGTCTCCGGTTCTCTACACTCACCATACGAAACACAGCAGCGTTAAGCTGCTATTTTACGCTGGTATTCTGTGAGAGCGTGGTCTTTCACCGGTCGAGCCGACCGATTCGTGCTACAACCATAATATAGCTGCAGCATGGCTCTACCACGTAAAAAATTAGGTCTTTGTGTTTGTGCCATCTAGCGTCTATCGTACTTACCACCTTGAGAGTCCATCGATTTTGATTTGATAAAATGACTAGAACTATAGAACGTTGTAGATGGCGCTATTTATTACAAAGCAATTTACTGGAAAGAAAATATCCTTTCGAGTACACTAAAGTTTAGGCTTCACATGTCTAAAAATAAGAATTGTAACATTTATTTGGTTGAAAATTATATTAAATAATATTATAAATCTACACTTTTATTTAGAGATTATAAAGAGGATAGATTTGTTTGTTTGTTTGAATTGAATAGGCTCCGAAACTACTTGACCGATTTGAAAAATTCTTTCACCATTAGAATCCTACATTATTTCTGATGAACATAGGTTATATAATATTTTCAAAAAGTTAGGGATCCGTATGAAAAATTCGTTAATGTAACCCAAGGTGTGAAAAAAAAATACCAAAAGAATCCTTATATCGCGTACGCTGCGGAAACTATTGATAATAGAGCAAAGTAATGTACTTCAGTTTTATAGAGGATTTCAATATCTACAAAAAAGTCTGCGATACCATATGTTTAACTATTACAGTTATGTCACAATAACTACTTTTCCATGTTAAAATGTGAAATAGTAACGCCGGTACAAACTAGGCCACATTATTCGTAATTTTAGTACCATATTTCACTTTTTAAATCTTTGTTAATTCAGCAACCGTCCGTCGTGATGTCTCTCTCGAAGTTCGCATGTCGCAAAGCGCAGACGCGTGATATACGCGGGTGAAACCGCGGGGCACAGCTAGTCTATAATATAATTTAATATAATTGTCAACCAATTTTCAACCATTTTCAAATATAATCATTTTAAATCTGAAAAACAAAAAATGCCGTTCATAGCTTATAGTAAGGTAATGGTGATTTTAAATCCGATAATTTCCAGAATATTACCGTCATATACATGCGACCTCAATAATCTTTCAGCACCTAATTAGCACTTAATTTTTAGGTACTGATAAAGAACAAAAAATACTATTCAAGTTCTAAGTAAGGTAATGGTGGTCGTGGACCCCATAATTCCCAGAATAATATCGTAATCTGTATCGTGTTTCGATAATCGATCTGCAGCACTTAATTAGCAGATAATTCCTTGCTATTAATATTTATCGTATATCTAGTAACGTCATCAACGTTGCTAGCGATACGTTTTGCCAGCAACGCAAATTTCAATGGTTCGTTGCGGTGAAAATATTGGAGCAACTAATTTTTAAACTTGGTACTTAATTAGCACCTAAAAAGCCCCTAATTTAGACTTTTTCTGAAAGCAATTTTGATTCTATGTTGATTTTCAGGAAATCTGAATTTTGCATCTGCTATGTTCTGAATAACGACTTTATTTTTATTAGGGGCGCCTTTTTATTGCGTATACTTGCAGCACCTAATTAGCACTTAGTTCCTTGCTATTAATATTTATCGTATATCTAATAAATTCATTGCGTTGCTAGCGAGACGTTTTGCTAGCAACGCAAATTTCAATCGTTCGTTGCGGTGAAAATTTTAGAGCACCTAATTTTTAAATTTGGCACCTAATTAGCACCTAAAAAGCCCCTAATTTTGGATTTTTCCAAATGCAAATTCCCAACTTTGCGTTGCTAGCGATACACAGCTAATGAAGTGGCTATCGGACCGACGGGTAAACGGAGTGGGAGTAGCCAACAAAAAAAAATCGATTTAAAATAGACCGATTCTCCAAACGTGCGAATTCCTCGAGTAGGTTAAGGGACTACCTAAGTTAATTGTATCTGAAGAATGAAGCGACTCATATAATAATGATCGAACTTCACTTCAAGAAGTTCGTTTGATATCATATTAAATGCCAGTACATTAATTAATTATAATTTTTATTTGTTTCTAATTAATTTTTTATTTTCGTAGGATAGGTCCCGAGTAAGTCCCTTTATTAGTCAGTTGCATCAAACCAGCCTAAGTCACATTTGTTTTTTTCAGTATCGCTTAAGTCCAGTGACCGTTGATTTCAAACGAACCTAAATCCATGGTGTTATGATCAAAGTTGCTAAAGTCCAAAATAAAAACCTATTTATTTTAATGTCTGATTGATGTTTTAACTTTTTTTGTCACAGTATTGCCAGTGCATATTATTTCGTTAGTGTTGACAGTACTGTACTTCATTTTAAGGTATAATTTAAGCGAGACAAGAGATACATCGTTGTACCAAAAGTTGTTTAGCCGTGACTTAGGCACGTTTGATATGTATCGACTCAATTATAAATAAAGTTTTATTGTAATTTTACTGCTATTTTACGAAAGGGTGTTTATTGTTTAATAGTGTTGGCAACTTTATTACTGGCAACATCGTCCGCCCCCCCTCCCGCCTTCGTGCACAACGGAAGAGAAGTGAAAAGGGAAATGTTATAAAATTGGGTGCATCATGATTCTTAGGCATTCTGTTTTGAGAACACGCGTCGAATTAGTCAAAGTGTAATTGAGTGTCGTGATTACAAAAACTAAATATTGAGTGCTCTGTACAAATATTAATGGAATACAATACATAATATATGTATTGTATTCCATTAATTGTTATAAGTGCATATTTATTTATAATAAATTATTTCATTGTGTTACGAGGTGGATTGAAAAGTACTCGGCCTAACACAGATCCATTCAATTCTAAAAATCAAATCTACCCACATTATTTAGTTCAGTTCAGACTAGTTCATTGTGTGAAGTTCGAAACGTGTGCGATAATTAGTTGTGATTTTATAAATTTATTAACAAAGTAATCGGACATAATTTCCGCGAATGGAGCAAATCGAGCAGCGTGCCGTCATTAAGTACCTCCATAAGAAGGGGCTATCATCAAAAGCCATCCATGATGACATGGTCAGTACATTAGAGAGTGTGAAAGATGAACCCCGCTCTGGAAGGCCTTCGACGTCAACTACTGACGAAAATATTAAAAAAGTACTTGATTTAATAATGGGAGACCGCAGATTAAAAATTAGAGAGATAGCCGAGATTATAGGCATCTCTTATGAACGAACTCAAAACATCATTGTCAACGAGTTGGGTTTCCACAAGGTGTCTGCGAGGTGGGTTCCACGACTGCTTTCAGTTGAACAAAAAAGGACGCGATTGACTATTTCACGCTACTGTTTGGAGTTATTTGAAGCCGATGCAGATGATTTTTTGAATCGTTTTGTTACTATGGACGAAACATGGGTTCATTACTGTACACCGGAAACAAAACAACAATCAAAACAGTGGAGAAGACCTGGTTCACCACCCCCTAAAAAGGCTAAGTCGATTTTGTCGGCAAATAAGGTGATGGCTTCAGTATTCTGGGACTCGAAAGGTGTGATTATGATTGATTATCTTGAAAGGGTTCAGAATATAAACTCTGATTACTACTGCACCTTACTACGTCGTTTACGAGAGGAAATAAAAGAAAAACGTCGAGGAATGCTCAGAAGAAAAGTCCTGTTTCATCAAGATAGCGCCCGTGTTCACACGTTAGTACAGTCAATGGCTGAAATTCACAACTGTGGCTTTGAACTGTTACCGCATCCGCCGTATTCACCTGATCTGGCACAATCAGACTTCTTTCTGTTCCCTAACCTAAAAAAGCACTTGGGAGGTCAAAGATTTTCGACAAACGACGAGGTCAAAGCAGCTGTAGACGCATATTTTGACTCTAAGGAAGAATCATTTTTTTTCAACGGTCTAAATGCTTGGAAGGGGAGGTGGCAAAAGTGTATTGAACTTGATGGTGATTATGTAGAAAAATAAAAATATAACTGATTTAGTATGTGTTTATTTTCTTGGTTAGGCCAAGTACTTTTCAATCCACCCTCGTAACATCAGAAGTAGGATACAATCCCTGTTATCGTCCACATAATATAATCTTCGAATAGTG